CACACACACACACACAAAGTCCATTTAACGCAATTCAAGTTACACTAAACACTAAATTGCACATTTTGGATGCAGCAAGATTTAGAGAAAGAAAAACTGGGAGCGAGATAAGGAGAGAAAGTGTGTGAGAGAGAGAGCATTCCTCACTACAACCCCCACATTCTCACGAACAAACACCCCATCGGGGCAACCAGCACACAGCTGAGATCACTGCAGCCTCTGAATGGGCTGTCTGGCTCCATTATGAGACTAAAGACCATCAGAACCTCAATGAAACCACTAAAGCAGGGGCCGGGCAAACACAGCTACAGTTTACTGGCATTCCTGTGGGTTTAAAACGCCACTCACACACACACACACACAGACATACACACACACACGCACACACACACACAACAAACACACACTCGAAGTCAATTTAAATTTAACATGGGCTCACATGTTCATGCTTCACTGTGGATGTGCAACTTTTAGAACAACTTCCTTTTCCTTCAGAGGACTAAACAGAGCCAGTCAAGTCAAACGTGGATCACTGGCAGTGTCTGCATCAAAAAAACAGGCAACCACGCTGCAGTCAATGGCTCCCAGGAGGACCATGATGTCATACACACACACACCACTTACCAAGGCTTTTGTTGCAGCCTTTTGCTCTTCTCCTCCCCTGCTTTCAGTCCTCACACCCCCTCCCACCCTGCTGCCGCTCACCCCGTCAACCCGCACACTGAGGCCTCTGTTCAGTGCTGTGTGGGGGGAATAAAAGAGGAGGAGGAGGAGGAGAGGAAGAAGGGAGGACCAGCAAAGAGGGGAAAAAAGGGGGAAAAGAAGTAGAGGAGCATGGAGAGGTGGGAACTGGCAAGATGAGGCGGGGGTTCAACAGGAGTTGAGCAACAACTGAGGGCACAGAGAGGGGTGACAGAGCTGAGAAAGTGGGAGGCGAAGAGTGGAGGGAGGGAGGGCTTCGAACCAAACAGGGGTTACAAGATGAATTTTATGAGCCCATATGTGAATGAGAGAGCTGGAGAAGGTGTGAAGAGGAGAAAGCTGCCTGGCAACGAGGAGCAACAAAAGCAAGAGTAACACTAGTGTGAAAAACAAGAAGCTCTGTAGACATAGCACTGCTCCGAGCTTAATGCTAACTTCAGAAACATAACATGCTCACAATGACAATGCTAACATGCTGTCATTTAGCAGGTATAATGCCACATTCAGGTCATATCATTATACCATGGGTAACTCATTTAAGATATTTAAAAAGGGGAATACACACACATATACACATACATACATATTTATACATAAACACACATATTATATTATAAAAATAGAAATTGTCGCTTTAAGGGGTCACCAAAAGAATCACAATTCATTCTGTGGGGAATATGTCTGAATCAGATTTCTTGGCAATCCATCCAAAAATTGTTGAGATTAAAGTAGTGGACCAACCGACCAACCGAAACACGATTAGAGATGATTAGAGAAGGCATTTAACCTCCTAATGTGGCCATCCCAGATCATTAGTTCAACATTAGGAACATTATGTCAATCAAGACTACTCTGAAGTAAGGCACAGACTGGAATCCAACATAACTGACTGCTGAGTGTGGTTTCCAGGTTTGTACTGCCTTACACTGCCCTTCAAATCACCTCTAAATTTAATAATAAAAGAAAAATACTGACTAATCTGAAATAATCCAGCATGGGCCATTAGATTCCCAGATTAGACAGAGATTACACAAAATTGCACTCAGCCCTGGAAATAATAAAGAGTACAGGCAGATAGAGAGATACCCTTTTACAATCAGGCCGGTGAGCCGATCCCTCAATGGATTGGAAGAAGGTTTCAATTCCACCCACATTTTCTTCTGACTTTTCATTCATCCCTCCCTCAGTTCATCCAACTAGTGATGAACACACGTCACCTCAGATTAAACCATCTCCCAACCCGCAAATCCCTTTGTACCCTCCCATTTATTATCTAGCCATGACCTGCCATCACTGTGCACCATCACATCATCCTCTTATCCTCCATTCCCTTCATAGTCCAGTTCAAGTCTTCACATGACACTGCTCC